TCATTTGTGATTTTTTCTTTTCTTTTCTTTTAAATCTTATGAATGTTATGAACTGATGTACAGTACTGTAATAAAAGATTCACTGCAACACTGAGATAGATCTGGGAGGCTGTACGCTAATAATAAAACATTCCTCCAGACCGTCAAATGTACACAACATACAGTATCGTAAATCTCATCATTCAGCTTTTTTTTTTTTTAGCTGATTTTGAGTTTAATGACAAGTAGTCTGTGACCTTGAGGCACTATGTTGGTTTTTTTTGCTCAATTTTCTTTGTTGATTAATCAACTTGCTGCATAGAATAGATGGCATACTGTGTATTATTTTTTTCATTTTTTTCATTTGTTGCCTTGTTAACTAGCTTGTAGGACAAACCTTAAGGCATTGCTGATGCCAGATGCATGATGCCATCTTATCAAAATGATCTCCAAAAAGTCAAATAAAGGTTACAATTAATATATGTTTTCTTATCCAAATACAGTTCACATATTATCCTTCCCTCCATTGATCTGTTATAGTCTAGTACCTTTACCTGCATGTTAAGAGCTTGGTGCTCAGCTGTCATCCACACCTGATGTTTTGGTTGTCACAGGAGGTTTAGGGTACAGTACTGTATCTGTTAGTGGCTTATGCATTCCTGTAGTTCCTCCACACCCATTGTGCATGGTTCTTCTTATTTATTTGTGATTATGACTTTTATATACTTGATATTTATTTCATTACTTGTGTGAATTTTTTATTTTAATTTGGTATTCATTACCCATGGCTAAGTAGATGCTGTGAGTGCTTATATGGTGAAGGGAATACACCGTTACAGGTTCCAGTGGAGATGGCTGAGCTAGGAGCCGTGCATTTAAGTTAGCATGCATCAGGTAGCACAGCTATGACCAGGCAGTGATCAGTGTTGCTAACTTAACAGAAAAGTTGCCAAATTTAGTGAATTTCAGGGCCTCTTCAACAACTAATTGGATTGATTTCAGAGAATTTGTTTAAATTTTAGGGTGATATTACTGTTGTTAATCAGAGACTTTTGCTGAGAGCGAAGTTTAGTGAATTTTAGCAGTTATGTCAGTGACTTGAGCTGTAAATGATGGCAACAGTGGTATTGACCAAAGCCCATATTCTCATAGATCAGTACAGTACAGTAAGTTAAATTTTCTTACCGAGTAATAATGTGGGAATCTAAATAACCAACTCATTTATTCATTCACTTAAAGGTAAATAATTAAGATATCACAACAATGCAAACATTACTGCAAAATAGAAATCTCTGATAATTTGGGCTGATGGTTATACTGTAGTGAGAGAGTAACTTGCTACATTGAGATGGATCATGGTTTGTACTGCAAACTGCATTACCTCATGTAAATTATTTCTCAATGGAGGAATTATGAGTTGTCATACAGTATACAGTTACTGGAACATAATTATACCATTTTTCTACATAAGAACAAATTGTAACTTAAGAAGATAAATTTTAACAAAATATTCAATTGAACATTATACTACTGTACTCATATATATATTTGTTACCAGCATCTAATAGTCGTGTTGATTTTATAATTATAAAAAGTCCATACAACACATTTTAACTTCTAACATCAAATAAAAAAGTTCTAGATATTCACAATACTCTCTTGTTCATCTGAAAAATAGTTTACATACCATGAACTGAATAGCTTGGCTGACACAATGAAGCAAAATAGTCTCCAGATATTGTGAGTGGAAATTAATCCTCGGCTGGTGGATCACTAACACCAAACTCCTTCTGCTGCCTGCTAACTGTATACATCCCTGAAACTTTCTAATTCTCTTTAATATCTTATATAAAATTTAAAGGTTAAAGTCATCATCGTGTGTATGGTTGGAATATTTTAGTTTAACAGAGCTTTATTGAGACAGTTAGGTGTTTTGTGCTGCGGTGCCCTGACTCTTGTACTCTATTTTCTTAATAATTTTTTCCATTAAATTTATTAATTATTTTTTGTGTAAACTGTTATTTTTACATACCAGAGATAAACCATGTGTTTTATCTTTAGAGATGATGTGGTAATAAGTTGTTGGTGTGCTGTAGTATGTATTAATGCTCATGTTAGCAGTGGTGGTCATGTCTCTACTGTGTTATAAAGGCATTTACTGTATTTTGTGCATGTACCTCTTTGGTCATCTCCTTTTATATACTCCTGCTGTTTTATTACTATATAATGGTTATCTCTTAGTGTATGTGTGCGCCATTTTTATAATTTTGTTTTAAATGTTTGTGCATGAGGTGGGAAAACAGATGGGCTACAGGTATTATGAGTTGGTGATGTCACTTAGTGGTGGTGTAGTCAAGCTGTGCATGGTAATAATGTACTGTACTGTATCAGTGTCTCCCATCCTGTAGCTGACCACCAACCTCAGTGTGGTGGCCATAAAGTTGTAACCCCCTCAGACAGTATCTGTGACTGTCATGAGTTGCAGTGTTGCAAGAGATGAGGAAGGTTGTTACTCTCTCCCGTAGTAGGGGTGAGAACCTTGAGGTAAGTCTCACCATCCCAGGCATTGTTCACAAGAGGCACGCCTGCCACTTTATGTCTTGTTGTGTTTCATCTGCATGGGATCAGATGCTTGCTGTCTCTATATACATAAACATACAAATACTGTATGTGTACTTTAATGCTGCTGCTACAATATTTGTCCTTTAAAATTCTCAATAATAAATACATTCCTGGTAATGTATTCAACAAGTAACCTTCCCAAAACTTTACAATATCTGTGTTTGAAGATAATTGCTCTACACTGTCATTCACCTGAAACTGATCATTGTTAATCTAGAAGTGATATCTTAGTTTTCCTTTTAAATGGTCAGCCATTTTTCTTCCTACTTAACTTCCAGCCTGCCAGTGTCTGCATTGCCACAGAAGCCGGTCTTTAACTGACAGTATAAAATTATATTTTATTCTGTGGGATATCTGTGGTTGTTTCTCTATGTCCTTCTCAAAGATTCTAGTCTGCACTTATTGTTGTTGCGTTTTGATAGATTTCTGCCATGCGGTAGAAAACTCAGCCTGTATTATCTCCCAGTGGCTTTACTTATAGGTTCTAGAGATTTTAAATTGTCTTGCAACGTTCTGGTGACAAATAACTGAAATTAGAATGATCTAAAGCTACTACTAACTTATAAGTACTGTATATTAGAATTTCAATTGTCCTTGATTATTGACAAATCTTATTATTCACTTCCTCAATAACCTGCAGCCTCTCAGTGCAGTAACACCAACACTCGGTGTAAGGTGCCAACACTGTCAGCTAACATTGAGATACCTTGTATGCCTAAGGACCTAGAATAAGTAAATAACTATAATACATTTTTTTAAGTTGTTTACTAAAAGGAATATATTGTATTGTACAACAATTTAAATTTTCAGTCTTAGATCATCAACACTTGGTACTTTATAAATGAATTAACTGATGTTTTGAGATATTTATGGCAAAACAATGAACTTAGCTTTTTGCTTTTAGAACATTTTAAACAAATATAAAAAAGTAATCTTTAATATTAACACATAATATTAAATTTAGATACTTCAGTTTTAATCGTAGATGCAAATTTTTCACTTCTTTGCTACTGTGTGAGTGTAATGCTCCTGTTAGTATTGTTGAATCTCCTGGAAATAAACTTCATTATTTGTTATCCATGTTAGTGTGGATACTGAATGCTTATCATATGGCAGGAGTGAATCAAATAAGCTAACTGTAGCATCACACACACAGTAATGTACATGAAGGGGAAACTATTGAAGTAATGAGCTTTGTGTTTCATTGTTGTGATAATGTATTCGTCTTGTGACTCATTATTGTTCATCAAAACACTTTGTCTTCTACTGACTCGCTTGTTCATCCTTATACTCTGTCTTGTGACTCACTGTTGTTCATCATAATACTTAGTGTCGTGTCGATCACAGTCATGGCTCAAAATACCCATCTTCCTGAGGCTCTTGTAGGAACATCATGACCCTCTATCTGGTGTCTGTTGTGCTTCCTGTGGTCCTGCAGATGTTTTACTGTGATAACATCATTTTTCTCCTGAACCTTTACTGTCTGGGTGTCTCATATTAATGCTTCCAGTCTTACAACAAGTACAGGTGTTGCATCTTACGTGTATAGGTATTCTTACAGTTCTGGATAGTATCCTGAGGTTTATTTTCCCTCCACTGATTATTGTGCACAGACATGCATGTAAGTACAGTACAGTCACCCACAAAAGTCCTGTCACCTCTTCTTCTGAACCACGAACCCCAAAATTCAGACTCATGAATCCGAAGCATTTATGGACAGAAAAATGCATTATTGTCTGCTGCTTCAGGTTCAAAAGTCTGACTCTCGGGGTTTGTGGTTCAGGAGGAGAGGCGACAAGTCTTTTATGGGTGACTGTACATAAACATACTGTACTTCCTTGAGTCACACATTCCAACAATCACATCTACATATACCTGCACATGCACAGATAATGGTATTATACTGTATATTAGTTATAAAATCACTGACACAATGATGTACAATATTCCAGAGCCTATTACAGTTACAATCTAGTGTAAATATTAGTCTTGAAATATATTTGTATGATCGTGTTTGTATGAACCTCAGATAGTGGGGATTAAACACCATTGATTTAAATATTTGTAGGAAAAATAGAGTACAGATGTGTTATCTTGGCTATTACTGTATACTGTATATGTCAGGTAGTTGCCATGTCCCTATACAAAAACAGAAGGTTTTGTGAAATTGTAGGTTAGCTTAGTCAGTGCACAGGGTAAAAGATGTTATCTTCCTTTCATCTCTCTGCTAACTTACTCCTACGGTGACACTGGCAGGCATACAGTCAGTACCTTCAAAGTGCCACCAATATATAGAGCTAAAATCCATGTTTAATGAGATCGAAATCTGTGTAATGTAGTTTAAGCTAGTGAATAGTGTTTAGTTGAGCTTCCCTAGTAACAAAGTACTGGCTTTTCAGGCTCACCGAAACTGCTCGGCTGTTGAAGAATGTTTTCCGACGCACTACCACACGCGTCAATCTGGAAGTAGAGCTTGCCCGTAAGTTCCTGGTCCTATTATTTCCTAGACTTGGTAACTGACATTCCTAATCCATATTATGATGTAATTGTAGTAGTGGCCACAAGAGACCCTTAGGTAGCTATTGATAAACACCCCCTGGATCTGACTGTCTGGACTTCACCTATAAACTGACTCGCCGCCAGGTCTTGTGAGTCATAGTTGGTTTATGTCGGCTATTATGTGGTGGAATTGGTAAGTTAGTTGATGGTTCCTTGCAGAGATTATTACTGCATCTATTATCATATTATTCAGTAAAGTGACCACAGACTTAGGAACTACAGTAGTCCACATTTAATGCAGTACGTTCTGTATCTGTTGTTAGAGTGAATATGTTTCCAGGATATAGAAGGTAATAATGAAAATATATACTTGTACATTATAATATTCTACAATTCTGTTTGTTCATTCTCCTGTAAGTGTTATTACTGTAATTTCACTGTGGTAATATTTTCTTTGTGTAAATTGTATTAATGACATATGTAAGTAATGTTAATTTGAGTGAATATCATTATTATTGTTGTTGTTTTTATTACAGGTATTATATTGTATTATCTTATTACTGTATCTCTAATTCACATCTTTAGGACTGAGTGTTTGGCTAACATGTGAATTATGTGAACTAAAGAGTGACTTATATCATAGGGCCTGGAACCATGAGCCAAATATATGTGTACAATACAATATTTCTGTCTGAACCCCAAAACCATAAACATAAATTAAACATGAACACAAGGTTAGAAACAGAAGGGAGGCACATGGCTGCACAGTTTGGTAGAAGGAGACTATGACTAGCATTGTACATCACTGAATTCCTTTAGAAGACAGGGCATCCACGCCAAACACACCACAGTACTTATACAAGCTAAACTCACCTACTCACACCAGATGCTTTCACACCATTCATAAAACTCATTTAATAACTCATATAAGCTAATTTTGTCTATTCTAAATTCAGATATCTTTAAAGAGGGATGATAGAGATGATGAGAACATGTACAGTCACAAACAAAAGTCCTGTCATCTCTTCTGCTGAACCACGAACCTAGAGATTCAGACTCTTGAATCCAAAGCATTTATGAACAGAATAATGCATCAGTGTCTATTGCTTCAAGTTCACGAGTGTGAATCTCGAGGTTCGTGGAGCAGCAGAAGAGGTGACAGGATTATTGTTCATGACTGTACAATGGTATATGTTGAGACTGGGGGGGTTGATGCTCATTTGAATTGGGTTTGAAAAAGTCAACAATCATTTTTGCATTCTCTTTTTTTAGGTATTGATAAATACTGTACAAATCTGTCTTGAAAATGGGATAGCTATGAATATCAATATGAAATTTCCATAAATCTATTTTTTAAATCTTCCGCCATCAGCTTTATGAGTTGGGTGTGCGTCAGGTGCCTAGAATGCTCATCATATAATAAGTCTTTTGTTTTTCATTGTACCATTGTGAGCAGAGAAAGTTTAAAACAAAATTGGTTACTATAGTCTGTTCACTCGAACTTTGCAAACTGAAGCCTTGGGTCAGTTTGTAACAAGGCAGTTGATTGGCTGGCAGACGGACACGGGAAAAGTTACAACAGCTCTTTGGTATTTAATTCATCGTATTTATGTTATGATATTCTAAGAACACAAACATGATGAACAAATTCTGAGATTTAAACTCCTCTTCGCTGCATGACATTCTTAAAGAATTCTGACTCTTATACATTGCTGGACTTATGATGTGTACATCTCTTGTCCTCTGAATGTATATTAACCCTTAATTGGTGGCCATTACTGGTGGAAGTTACCTGTAGGGATGACAGCCATCACCTGTGGAAGTTTCATGTTTCTTGCTTTCCATTTTTACCCATATGGGGAGGAAGGGCTGGAGTCCTTAGCCACCAATTAAGGGTTAAACAGATTCTCTCATGCAAAATCTCCTTTAGACTCCAATCACTGTGTGACCACTCATGAAAATAATATAAGACATTATACCAGCAGTAACCAAAACATTAGAAAACATCTTACTGCATGAAGCAATTTGATTAGTGTACAGTAATCTCCTTGATAACTGTTGCTCCACTGCAGACATCACCTTTTATAAACATTAACATTAATTTTGGCCAATTTAATACAACTATAATTTCAATAAGTCATAAACCTTTTTAATACATGAAGTAAGTCTTTTTCTGAGGACAAATTCCTTGACACACATAAATATCAATTTTAAAAATCTTAATGCTGGAGGCATATTTTATCTTTTATTTTTGTGCTTCCACTTAAGTGGCCCATTGCTTTGGACACATCTGTATTTATGACCTTCTATACATCTGTCTTTTATTGAATTCCACTGCTTGAAAAGAAAACCCTGAAGTGATTTAATATAAATTAATTTGGTTGTACTCTTGATTATTTCAGGAGTTATGGTCCTTTTCTTTTGACTTAGCAGCCAGTGGAGGCATACAATCACACATCTTGTTTTTACTTTAATTTATTCATTTTTATATTTGTACAGTAAATTGTTTTGATAGCTGATACGTGCCCTTGATCTGTCTGTCATACTAGGTGCTGTGAAGCCCAACATCCAGAGTTTGAAGGGATCTGATGGTTCCATCCCCTATCCTGCCTGGAGCTAATGTCCAAACTGCATTGGTAGTGATGTGCTTTCCTATTCTTCCTGCTCGATTCACCTGTTTACTTGAGCACCTTTCACTTCCTCACATTCTGTCTCTCACTTCCTTACACCTGCATTTGTCTTCACTTTAGAGCCAATTATTCAGTGGGTTCACAGTGTCCATATAGCAGACTTGGTGCTTGTCATGTGATGAACACATGGGTACAGTTGTCATCCTCAGTGCTAGGGTACAGTCAGTCTGCCTCAGCTACCTCCTTAGTGTTGGGTCTGTTGTAGTTCCCAAACTGAACTGTAACCTTAGCAGTACAGTAGTTGCCATATCTAAACAAGGTATAACATTTGTAGTGCACCATTGGACTGACCCATTTCAAACTATTTTATTTTATTTTATTTTTTATCATCTGGATATTGAAGTCTAGTGTTATAAGAGAAGCTAATTTTAGATGTTTTGCTTGTTTGTAAGATAACAGTATGTATGACAAAAGAGAGAGCTATCAAAATCTGGGTACAGTACAATATTCTTTTTGAATTTTTCTGTCAAAGTTTGTGACAGATTATGTAATAGTGTCACTGATTTCACAAACTGGCAAATATGCAATTTTTTAGTTTTGAGAAAATTGCCCTTGAAAATTAAGTCTTCAAGGGTGATTTTATCAAAACTAGAAAGTTGCACATTCGCCAGTTTGTGAAATCAGTGTTGACATAACATCAGCTTTATATTTTAGTTACCAATTAGCATCAATATACACTAGAGGAGGTCTCGACATTCACGTTGGTTATGTCCCTGCGATTACCACGAGTTGTGAATTATGAAACTGCACATAATGAATGTTTCATGTTGTTTTTCCTCCTTAACACTTCACTACGGAGACTCCACTATGAGTATTTTATTTGGTTAACTCCCAGGCAATTTTAGTCAACTCAGAGGGGGACCTGTACACAAGGGGTTAATGTTCAACTAATCTATTTCTTCCCATCATTGAGTAAATTATATCATAATATTGCCTTCTCTTTTATATTACTTTATGTCCAGAGTGACCAGGTACTTTTCTACTGTACTGTACAAGAATTTATGTGTACTGGATTTTACCATCACTTTATTTCTGAATTTAGTTTATTTTGTTTTGCCAGTTATTTCATTATACAGTACCGTACTAGGTCCTGTGTATTATCAGGTACTATATTGTACTGTACTGTATTTACATTAAGTTCTTTTTTTTCTTGGCAATACTGTATACTGTATTCTTAACATACAGTAGCTGTTTTTCATTGATTCATTTTATGTATTTTGCCATGAATGAAATGGTTTACTGTTTTCTTTATATATCACTGAAATCACATAAAACCGTACTGTATTGTGTACTGCAGTGTCGCATCTTGTTTACTTATATGGGTCATTACCTCCAGTGTTGTATATTCATGATTCACTTTAATGTTTCACTGTATAAATGACCCAGTGATATATAGTACACACTCTGTAATCTATTTTCATTCACATTTCCATCAACATTATTTAATAAGTTTGCTAAGAAATTCCTTCCCATTTTTTGTATGTCCAGCAACAAGCAGCGAGTCACAGCCACCGCCACAGAGACTGATATATATTGTAGATGAGATGCAGCTCACAATGAGGTGTAAGAATTTGGGCTTCACATCTCATTATGTTTATAAATCTTATTAGTGTAGTGAATTGCACTGAGCACAATATTTTACATATGGATATGGTGCAATGTGTGTTTGTGTGTGGTTTGTGTTGTACTTACCGGTGTTCTGTATATAATATTATGTAAACTTATACTAACCATAATGTCCCCTTTGGGTATACATTTACTACATGTGTATAAAGGACAGGAACTAAAATTTTTATACAGTGGCCACAGAACTGCTTGCTGGTGGTGCAGATGTAATGACCTGTTTTTTATATTATTAAACTATAGGAAGAATTTTAATCAATTTATAATGCTGATGTTAATGCACAATAACTTAGTTGATTTGTTTAACAGAAAAATTTCTGACCAGTGTGAGACTCTTTAGTTACCATGAAAATGGAGGATTAATCCTGAGATCCCACTTTATAAGTGAACCTACAACTAGTTGGCTTGTGTAAAGTGCACACCTTGCCTTCATGTTGAAGACCCAGAAGACCCTCGTATTTTTTTACGGGAATTAGCCCACCCGGCACAGGTCAAACGACCCACAACGGAGCCTGAGGGGCGAAAAAAAAAAAACGGAAAGAAATTGTAAATATAGAAAAAAAAGGTTAAACTGTATTAATCTACACCACGAAGATGCCGGAAAACCAGCTTTTTAAAGTGAGACAGATTGTAAGAGCATGGAAACACAGAAGAAGGCAGAGCATTCCACAGTTTGGCTGTGTGAGGAAAGGAGGTACTATAACGGGTTATTCTCGTGTGACCGACATCCACAGAGAAACGGTGGGCACCGCGGGCAAGACGTGTGTTACGAACCCACAGCCTTGCTGGCGGTACACAGGATGCCAAATCCACCGAACATTGCCCGTTAAAGTACCTGTAAAAGAGAGAGAGTGAAGCAACATTGCGGCGAAGAGAAAGGGAAGAGAGATTGTCGACTAAAGGAGGAGAGTTAATAAGACGAAATGCCTTTGATTCCACCCTATCTAACACTTGGACAGAAGAAGAGCCACCCCAGATATGAGAGCAGTACTCCAAGTTAGGATGAATGAATCCCTTATATACTTGGAGCAATTGCTCAGGAGTGAAGTAGCTGCGGCATCTGTACAGCATTCCCAACTTTCGGCTGGGAACTGACCTGATGATTAGTTCACCCTTCTCTATTACAGCCATGGTTCTTACCTCTTGTTCATGCCTGTATCATACATGGAACAGTCCATTTTATTATAGATGTGTCATGTATGGAACAGTAATTAATACATGTTTCAAATTATCCCACTTGAAATTCAGACCACTAATATGTATGCAACAAACCTTCAAATGTCAGGTTCTGCCACACTGGATTCCAAGCACAATTACCCTACCCATTCCAAGAGTTCTTGAGCTGCTTTCTAGAAAGCACTGAGACTTGTATTGAAAATTACGAAAGAATTTCAATTCATGGTGGAAAAACAATGTTTGAGCACTTGTGGGGAACTACTGTTTAGAAAAATAATTCACCAAGACTAACACGGAAAAACTGTGATGGACAAACATAAGAGAGGACATGAAACTCCATTCTCAGTCTGAACAGTATCTGGGTGATTGTCAGCCCCCTCAGGCAGAGGAAGAGTCTCTCTCTCCCAGTCTCAGGAATAAACACTTCCCCTGCCAGTGATTTCATTGTTTCTCTTAAACTCACAAACAGCTCTATGTCCCCAACTAAACATCAAAGGATTTGCAGCACAAGTTTTATTCTAAGGCTGCGGCCGCACTGAGAGCGTGGCAGGCGGGAGTGGGCACGTGTTGTTGCCAGCTCGCGCCTGCTACCAATGCGCCCACGTCTGTGGGTTTCAATGCTGCAAAGTCTTCCGCACCCACCCGCCCGCCCGCTCTCAGTGCAGCCGTGGCCTAAGCCAAAGAAGCTGGAAAGAAAGAACATCCCTGTACAGCCATCTTCTCAGTAAGAACAACACCCATACTCCAGAGGAATGACTTGAGCTCAACCAACTCAATCTTATCAAAACAGTATAGAGAGTAAGCTCCTGAGAAAGTTCATCCCCTGATCACAAATCTTGGAATATTCCAGAACAAGATAGAAGACAGGATCCTCAAGTTGAATTAACACATCTTCTGAGGAGCTCATCAACAGCTTTTAAAGATAAGCTAAAGAGGTAGAGTTATCCAGAAGTTCAAGGGAAAATAAGTTGTTTAGCCATAGCAGCTCTGAGAGAAAAGCTCAACAGAAGCAGATGTGTACCATGCAAGAGGCAGCTGGTAAGTAAATGGGGGAATTAATCCTGAAATCAAATATGGTTGAGCCATCAGACCTCAACACACCTCTTGCCTTTAATGACAGCTGTTAATTTTAATCTTCCTTTAAGAGCAATTTTAGTAGCAGGGAGTCATGAACTCATCATTTTGGTGTTCCCAGCCACAAGTACCAAGGTGTCCTGGGTTTCCAACCTGAAGACTTGGTATGCAACATCACATGAGCCACCTAGTAGAGGGCATTGGTTTGTAATGCAAGTCAATGATGGACATCAACCAAAATATGTAAATATTCCTTGGTACCAGAGTAACTATGGTCCACACCACCTCATATGATTGTCTGACGCACATAAGCACCTTCAATGAGAATATTGTACAGGAGCAGCAGTCATTTAATAACCACCTAAGAATGATAAAGGTGCTCATGCACTTTCACAATTTATCCTTGTATATAAATATTTGTTTATTAATATAAAGTAAATTAAAGCATCTTTAGGTTGATGCACAAAAACTAATGTAATGTAGTGCCAGATTAACTTGTTGTCTTTTATTTAGGTTCTTCAATTGCCAGGGGGGAGTAACACTTGATCAACCTTACTTTCTACAACAGACAACTTCTAGATATCAACTTCAGTCATTAGACTTAATGATTTACCCATTCAGTCATAAGCTCAGCCTATTGTTTGCATTCTCTGACCATAAAGTTCTTTAAAAAATGAGAGAAAAAAAAATTGGCCTTCTAAGTCAGTTAGACACAATAATAAAAGCAATAAAGCATCAGAAAAGAAAAATTAATCCTGATTGGCAGCAGCGGCTCGCCCCGAACCAAGTCTGATAGCCTGGGCCACTGTCTTTCCTTTATTGCCTAGAGCTGACAGGTTCTTTAAATATATAAACTTCATCATATTCCTCTATATCACTACAGTACTTTCCATCAAAACTGAGTCTAGTTCTTGCTACATCACTGTGTAATTGTGTTTGTATCTGCCAAACATACAGTATCACTTTCAAGGCTGCCAGTTGTGCATTATGATAAACATCTTTCCACCATGGTGTTTGTAGGGTAACTGAGCTGTTGTTAATTTCCGAGGATAAATTATTACTGCTGATGGCATATGACATCATTATATGTCTCATAGTTGCCCCAGGATAGTATATGAAATGTGGAGGAAAGATCAAAACATATGTCATATATCCTGAGGACACTGGTTACCAAGTGTATGATTTATGTCTAGGACTGAAAGGGTTAACTGAGCCTATTTGTACTAGTATCACCTTAAGAATCTGTTAAATAGAACATTGTTGAAATTTTAGATATACTATACAGTACATGCACTGGTTAGTTATGCTTCCAGACACAGTATGTTGTAGCTAAAATAAAAAACAATTCATACAAGTCTGATAAACCATTTTTATTGTTTTTAGTTGATTTGACCACAGATTAGAATATAAGGTACAGTATTGTACTGTACTGTATATATTTTAGATGCACAAATTGTGTTGAAATATTTAGAATCCAAGGTAGAGAAAGTCAATTTAGAGAAGGTTTAATGTTTTCTGTTTTGATACTCTTATATTTTAAAGCACATGCACACACACACACTCACAGTACAATATAAACCTAACTTAAGGCTTAAGAGACTCATGCATTACCATTTAAGCTTCTGAGATGAAAACCCAGGAGCACTTAACACTGTTGGCTACTGGCTAGATAATTTGGTTATGTTTTCAGATGGTGTAGGATTGGGGAGTGCAATGCTACTTTACTTTAAATAGAATTTGGAATATATTGCTGCCTCCATCATCCCTCTACAGTATTTAACTTACTTCAGGTACATAAGTTACCCACATCACTTGTAAGGTTATTCTTAAATCTCACTTAATCTCACTTATAACAGAGTTTGGATTGGATGGCTCCATTACTCTCCTCCTCCTAGTAGATAATGCTGAGGATGGGATGAAACTGAGGATTGGGGCAGGGTCTGGCAGTTTGTAAATGAGGCCACATGAGGATCACAGAGTATATATATATATATATATATATATATATATATATATATATATATATATATATATATATATATATATATATATATATATATATATATATATATATATATATATATATATATATATATATATATATATATATATATATATATATATATATATATATATATATATATATATATTTATTTATTTATTTATTTATTTATTTATTTATTTATTTATTTATTTATTTATTTATTTATTTATTTATTTTCGTGTGTGTGTCTTGGTGACTAAGCATTAACTCACAGCTTGTTGTGATATAGAGAAACCTTAATTTTTTCAAGCACATTTTTATTTAAAAAATTAATGTAACATTAGTGACTGTAGTACATTATAGTAAACCTCTGTTATCCAGTACTGTACAGCAGTATACAGTACATCTTTGTGGGTAGTGAAGATGAGGTTAGTACTGAGTACATTAGGGATGGTGTGGTCAGGTCTGTTAGATTAATACTGTTCTGGTGTGACTCACCTCGGGTTTATCTTTATGGTTATTGCTATACTGTATAGCCATTTTAATTTTCATAAAAAATTAACATTTATTGAGTCTGCTACAGTACTTGCCAATTTCCCATATATTAGTGTGTGCTTGCATGTTTTACATTTATTTTTTTCCAAAATCAAAATAAGTACAGTACAGTAAACCCTCATTTTCACAAGGGTTTGCTTTCATAAAAGATCTATCTCAACATTACATCATGTAAATGTAAATCCAATAAGTAATAGGAAATGAGTTGGGTTTTGGTCACAAGTGAAACATCCACAACATCATTGTTTGCTTCTTTATGTTGTACAGTAGAACCAGCTGTTACACTAAACTGCATGATTATACATGAAGCAGACTGTGAAAGTGAGTCGCATAAGCCTAACAATCTATTAAAGGCAGTGTGGAGACTGTTGACCAAGCCTTTGGCAAGCACTGCACTTGACCACCATCATTTTATCCACCTTTGATGTTTCATACCCATTTACCTCTGGGTACATCTTGTACTACTGTAGTTAAAAAAATTAACCATGTATTGGATATTTATTGTGTTTTACCATGACAAGAGCCAATATATGTGCACGGTACTCATGGTGTCCCACCACTACACACTCATAGAATAGTTAGTACTAATCTCACTACTTCCTGTTTTTTATTACAAGTCTGTTCTGTGTAAATGTTGTAGTGAACAAGATGGGAGAGGCAGCCCATCACCATCTGCCCCAACATTACACTCTCACACAATATAGTAACAAGTGTAGTGTAGTGTACATACTATAGTGTAGATTAGGTGTAACTAACTGATGGGAGATAATGTCTGCCACTCACCATCTTCAAGCAAATAACCAGCCATAACTATTCACCAACCAGATAGCTAAGCATGGTGGCCAGTGGCCATCACACACCTTCACTGCCTGACCTGACATTATGACGTTATTGTCTCATTTCAAAATACACTGTACACAGATACCTGTAAAATTCTGTAAATAATAGAGAGTAGCGAAGATCATGCATAAACGAGGGTTTACTGTAGGAAAAAATATACAGTACTAATTATAATTTATCAGTGACAATTCCTTTCTTCTAATACTGACTTTCTCTGTCCTACAACAGATGGGTACGCATTCTCTCAAGAGGAACATGGAGTCATGGGTCAATCAGAAGTGATTCGAGCATATGACACAACACAGCCAAAGCCGGGCGGCATGTAAGGTTTACCAGGGAGTACGACACATCTCCTGCCAAAGTCAAATTGTAACCCTTAGCACTGATGTGGTGCAGCAGCAAGAGTCAGGGCACAGTTGTAGGCAAGTATACACCGTCAGATAAATAAATTAACACCTAATTGCACTCTTACTATATATTACTGATTTTTAAATAGAAAAAAGGGAACGATTGACTCTTTAGGTAGGTTTTGTAATTTTGAAGTGTTTGGAATTCTTACAAGCAGTACTGTTCAAATCAGTTCTAGTCAAAAGGTATTATTAACATAAAAAAACTCACAAGTATTAGTTTGCATTATAGAGCAAAACATTTTTACTTATACTGTATATCGCTGTAAAGAATTTGTTTTGGCAACACTAACACTTGTTTATTATTATTGTTATCATTATCATTTGTGTAAGAACATCCAGTACAATGTAATATTTTGTACTTAATGATATAGTACACTGTATTGTTAAAGAATGAAATACTCCTAATGAAGAAATCTTATAAAGTGAATAAAGGATATCAGTTTATAATATTAATTCTAGTTACTGGGTTCTGTGGGCAGTTAATGTGATCCAAATGATGAATAATCTAGTCCAGTACTTTCTGACTTTTTACATGTCGGCGTAAATCTGTTCAAGCATTCAGATGGCAATGTCTAGAGTCACCAGTGAAGCCTGTACAATTTACTACCTTGAGTATGTGTGTATATATATATATATATATATATATATATATATATATATATATATATATATATATATATATATATATATATATATATATATATATATATATATATATATATATATATATATATATATTAAAATATTAATTTAAAGGTCACAGTAAGTAAGTGTTACAATAGTAAAGTAGTATTTAAGTCAGAGTTAGGATAACAAAAATGCTAATTTCCTACAAGTAAGTAACTGAACACTCCATCCTTACATTTAGTACTGTCAGTATCAGTTATTAACAAGAAGAGTGGTGACTGCGGCCCTCGCCCAGCCTCATGTAAGTGTGAATTTTCTTTATGCGTTGACCTTCCCTGATGAAGGCCACAGCTTTTAAGGCTAGATGTGTGATGTTCAGCTGATTTGTCATAGTTACTTTGTGCTGAGTTCAAACTGTCTAAGGTGTGTCACATGTTGAACCCCCATCCTCATGTTAAATCACAGTATGTTCAAAGAGCTTTAATATGTCCATGGAAGCTTTTAATTAACTTTTATCTTTTACGGTGCATTAGTCAGTGTGTTAGCTGTACTGGCAGTGATTTACATGTCCAATGGTGTAACATCATCTGTTGATATTATTGTGTACAAGTTCAAAGTTAATGGAAAACTGTCACATAATATCATGTTCTGGTAATAAGTATATGTACTGTATACCAAAGTGAAATGTTTGTGATGAAACATAGAGAAAATTTACAGCAAGTTAAAGAACAGAAAGAAGAATGGTGGAAAAGTTGACAGAGATTTAAGGATTACAGATGAACCAGGGACAGTGAGTGATGATGTTGAAGTAGAAGTACTGTAAAGTATTGATGTTGATGTCTGTTGAGAGAGTGGGGCACACAACTCGTTAAGACTATTATGTGTATGAACCTGGTGGTGTGGCAAAACAAATCTCTCTGAATGTACAATCATAATGGCATTCTAGTAACAGTAAGTTATTATGGATCTTGTTAGTCTTGGTGAATTAGTCAGAACATATTATAATGTATAGTTATTCTTATGTTCATATTCATCATATACTATATTTCATGTTTTGTTTTGTTTTATAACTGTATTTCATCGTGGATAACTTGCTATTTTGGGATACATCAGAGCAGCAAGTGACATGGTGAATTATAGCACTCTTGAGTAATGGTTCATTTTAGGGGTCATCATATGCATGTTGAATTGCATGGAGTGTAGTGAAAATTTTTATCTTAAAATAAATTTCACTTCATCCTCTACCATACTGTTCAGAACTAACACTGTATATATATTGGGTATTTGTTCTAAGGTAAACTGTTATTAAGGTGGAGCTTCCTTTATTGAAGTGACTCTCATAGATTGTATTGATGTTACAGTTGAATTTTATAGTCTATGAATGATCTGTACTACTGCCTCCTAAAGTTCTGACAGAGGTGAAGGTTGTGGACTTACAGGTGTTTTGGACTGTGAGTGGAATTGATGGATGTGGAGACAATTTGTAATCTCTGTCAGGCCAGTCATGTGTAAGCATAACTTTATATAACTTGTTAGTACAGTCCTGAGCAGTGATAGGCTCAGTATGGTAGTTAGTATACTTGTAATCTACCTTAGGATATATAAAAATGCACACAGTGGGAGTGGCACAGCTTGTATGTTAAAAGAAAGATTGGCACTGTGTCTTCTTAATAGGGTGCTCCCATTGACAACCTTGTACATAAGACTTAATGATGATTTATGATCAGCTGAGAAGACTGAATATTTTGAGTAAAGTAAATTTAATCAATAATTTCCTATGGATGCTGGTTGTTGTGAGTCATAGGGTGAAAGGAACTAACTTGGGCAACATTTTCCTCCTACAATGTTGAATGGGCAGCCCTACGGCAAAGTGATGTTACATCACTTAAGGGGTATATAACTTGACCAAGCTGGAGTGCACCATAACACCATCTGCCAGTTCTCAACATCTGTGGGTTCAAACCTGCCTATGAGGGAAGAGAAGCACTCAGTACCTATATGGTGATGTAGCTTAATGAAAGATGAATATTTAAACAATTGGAAAGCTTATAGAATGCTAATAATTTTGTGTTATTATTTCTCTTATCTTTTTATGCTATATATACCCTCAATTTTGTTTGCAAATCTTTGAAACACAAAATGCTATCAAATTATATTGTTGCTGTAAAACCTGATATTATTTATTATGAAAGTAGCATTTGTTTAAATCTACATTCTTACAGGAATTGTTACCACATTCCTAACCTTGACCTGAAGCACCTTAGAGTTTTAGGATGACTCGGCACTTACAAGTAACTACGTCCTTTTTATTTAGTCATCTGCAGTACAGTATAGTCTAGCTGTGTTCTTTGTAGAGGATTAATTTGGCCTAGTGAAAATTATTTTGTATTTTAGGTTATTACATATTTATATTGCCCAGAGCTGTGTGAAAAATCTTACGTAATTGAAGTTAAGAATATCATCAGACACAATGTATAATGATGTCATGTAGACCTTTTGTCCTCCATTGCTGAATTTCAAAAATATTGTGAGAATTTTGTAATCTTTCTTGTATTGAGTTTAAGGAGTAAATGTCTGACAAGGATAAAATGCTCTGACTATAGTGGTTGAACATATTATATTCATTTGACTCATGTGGTCATCAATAAGGCACCATATGTCACTATTCTCCACTAGTTAAGCCACTTGGATAGTACATAAATCAGTAATGGAAGTTAGACTCACATGTGCCTATAGAGATGACAGTGATATATGATTGGATCTATCAGCTTATGAGAGTTTTGCAGTTGAGACACTGAACTTTCTTAGATTGTTCCTTTTCATAGAGGAGTCTGATACCATATGTATTTGTGTATTGTAAGGTGTAGTTCAAGCAGCCGTTTCCTAAAGTGCAACGTGAATGGCAAATATGAAGTTACGAAACATTCCTTATCTTCGTTCATCACAGAGTTAACACCGATGCCTATTTGTATTTTGCAGTGTACGGAAAACAGATGAATCATTTAAAGATACATATATTTTGCTTACAGTTTTATTACAGTAACCACCTGTCATAATAAAGTACTGAATATCTAATAAGTACATATGATACACAGCTCATGGATCCCCCAAGAACAAATGTCTGTATCAATTTTAACAATAACCTTCACTTGTAGTTCTCATGCCTGCGGATGAAACATTTTTCTCATAGGCAGTTTCAATGTGGTGTGATATATGACTTACGTTAGTGTTGTATAGTACTGGTGGATGTCTGTCAATGTGCGACACTGTACTGTGGCTCATGTTCTGACCTGTAATCTTGTATTCTTCTACAACTGTGGAATGTATTTTGTCAAAGTCATTATTTCACCCTGGAGATGTATTGTGTACAGCCAAGTTCAATGTACATGCAATGATTAAATTTGTGACCAAGTTCACAAGCCAGAACCAGTATCGTGCTCTCGGTTCCATACCATGAGGAGTACAGTATCAAGAGGACAAGCTTGCTGAAGCAAATGTTGTATTTCAAATTTTATCAGATAAATTTTTATTATGTTATGTGAAGCTTATGTGTTATGATACACTGTACATCATCAGGGACTGGTTAAAGATGTCTCGTCTCTTCAGTATGTTGGAGGAAATGTAGGGAAGGCAGTAAAGGATGGCCAGCTAACATTCTACAAATCTTAACTTACTCATTATGGATAAAATGATTTATTCAACCAGGCTGCATTTAGACCATCTAGAATTATCCGACTTGAGTTTTTGTTAATGCATCTGTATACAATTTCTGCAGGTTATTTTAAAAATGGTGTATTTTTCCTCTTCCCTTGCTGTTGTATGTGTGTGTCTGTGTGTATGCATGTCAGTATGTATATGAGACAGTCATCTATGACTCCAGCTGTCCTGTGCGTCTTTCAACCATTTTGTGTAATAATTGGGCACTGAAGATCAAACTGTTTCTTGCTCCAATGCCCACAGTTCTTTGAGATGAATTGTCAAACTTATGCATCAAAAATGATAGATAGATTTGTCACCAAACTGGGTTTATTTCATTCATTATCTTTGATATCACACAATTAAAATGTATGGGCCATCAGGATCCTGTCAAAAACAACACCTAAAATAAATGTAAAAAAAATAAAGACTTCACTCGGTATTGATTGAGTTTAACTACCTAAGAAAGGTTTTTTCTTTTTGCATAATAAACTGAATGTGTACTACAATGATTTCCAATTTTAGTTCTTCAATTAGATTTATCTGTATTAATATTTACTTTAGAGTATGGTATATGGCAAGATGTACAAATATTCTTGCATTGTACAGTTCATGAATGAAAAACTCTTCATGAATGATGCTGTTAAATTGTGAAGCTTCATTTAATATTTTTGTAACATTCAACTTGTTCAATATATTTGGGCAGGTCTCAATATTGTGTTGTGCATGTACTGAAGAAATTATCATTACATGGTTATAAATCTAACACATTTGTTTCATTATCATGTATTGGACATAACTTATATTGACATGGAATTCAGTTTTTCAGATAAACTTGACAAAACTCTTAATTCTTATTTTTTTATTCTTACAATCTCTCTCCTGTTGTATATGTGTCCATAATCATCTGCTGTCACTCATTCATTCTGTCCACTGATCAAACCATTTAATATGAATTTTGACTTAGATTAAAATTATACATGAATTTATTGATTATTTGGTATGGTAACTATTATTGACCCCTTCTATTAAGTTATTTACAAGGTAATTTATCATACTCCTATTTTTTCACATAAAAGTATAAAAAGAGAAATTTGACAACGTGTGAGTTTTAGGAACATGATTTTGATACTTGAGATATTCTTTGCTCGACTTCTCAGGGAGGTAAACCTGTGACCACGACCATGAAGCTAAGTAGGAGCACCATTGAGATGAGACAGGTAGGAACACCATTGAGATGAGACAGGTAGGATCACCATTGAGATAAGACAGGTTGAAGCACCATTGAGATGAGACAGGTAGGAACACCATTGAGATGAGACAGGTAGGAGCACCATTGAGATGAGACACAGGCACAGGATAAGATGTTGCCATTATTTTCATTTACCATATACAGCTCCTCCCCGACTTACGACCAACCGGACAAATTATGTATTTTCGAGTCCCAACGTCAGTGATTGCACTGTGTACTGACAAAATTTTCGTGTGTAATTCACTTTAAAATGGGTGGCAAGCTTAAAAGTGAGAATTTTGTGGTGCTGAGAAGAAAAAGAGACCCATTTTCTATATACAGTATTACCCCGCCTAACGCGGTTTCACTTAACGCGTTTTATCATATACGCGGTGCCTCGCCAGAGCTGAACTTTCACTTAACACGGATTTTTTCCACATATACGCGGTGAGTGTCCGGCTCGAGACGCTATTTTTAGATTTGCCCCACCCGCCACCCTGCCTGACTGCCTGTTTTAGCTCATAAAATTCATACAAATTACCCGGCCAGAATATAATTTACATTGCTGGAATTCTTATAATTTGGTGATCATTTTGAATATAAACATCATATATTTTGCATTAGACATACAAATTTTAGATAAAAAATTTTCTCAGAGTAACTATGTTATCTTTTGTGCAAAATATATGACATTTATATTCAAAATATTCCTGGTCTTACAAGGAATCCAGCAATGTCAATTATATTATCCTAACTTTAGTTTGAGGTATTATTTATTAAAATTTAGTGGTTATCCCACACATCTCCTTGGGACGGTTGGTGGGGGGTGGGGGGGAGGGAGGGACCGACCGACCATCTGTTACCCCGTGAAGAATTTTTTTTTTTTTTATTAACTGAAGATATTTGTTTTAGCTCATAAAATTCATACAAATTACCCGGTCTGAATATAATTTACATTGCTGGAATTCTTATAATTTGATGATCATTTTGAATATAAACATCATATATTTTGCATTAGACATACAAATTTTAGATAAAATTTTTTCTCAAATTAACTATGTTATCTTTTGTGCAAAATATATGACATTTATATTCAAAATATTCCTGGTCTTACAAGGAATCCAGCAATGTCAATTATATTATCCTAACTGCAGGTTATTTTAAAAATGGTGTATTTTTCCTCTTCCCTTGCTGTTGTATGTGTGTGTCTGTGTGTATGCATGTCAGTATGTATATGAGACAGTCATCTATGACTCCAGCTGTCCTGTGCGTCTTTCAACCATTTTGTGTAATAATTGGGAACTGAAGATCAAACTGTTTCTTGCTCCAATGCCCACAGTTCTTTGAGATGAATTGTCAAACTTATGCATAAAAAATGATAGATAGATTTGTCACCAAACTGGGTTTATTTCATTCATTATCTTTGATATCACACAATTAAAATGTATGGGCCATCAGGATCCTGTCAAAAACAACACCTAAAATAAATGTAAAAAAAATAAAGACTTCACTCGGTATTGATTGAGTTTAACTACCTAAGAAAGGTTTTTTCTTTTTGCATAATAAACTGAATGTGTACTACAATGATTTCCAATTTTAGTTCTTCAATTAGATTTATCTGTATTAATATTTACTTTAGAGTATGGTATATGGCAAGATGTACAAATATTCTTGCATTGTACAGTTCATGAATGAAAAACTCTTCATGAATGATGCTGTTAAATTGTGAAGCTTCATTTAATATTTTTGTAACATTCAACTTGTTCAATATATTTGGGCAGGTCTCAATATTGTGTTGTGCATGTACTGAAGAAATTATCATTACATGGTTATAAATCTAATACATTTGTTTCATTATCATGTATTGGACATAACTTGTATTGACATGGAATTCAGTTTTTCAGATAAACTTGACAAAACTCTTAATTCTTATTTTTTTATTCTTACAATCTCTCTCCTGTTGTATATGTGTCCATAATCATCTGCTGTCACTCATTCATTCTGTCCACTGATCAAACCATTTAATATGAATTTTGACTTAGATTAAAATTATACATGAATTTATTGATTATTTGGTATGGTAACTATTATTGACCCCTTCTATTAAGTTATTTACAAGGTAATTTATCATACTCCTATTTTTTCACATAAAAGTATAGAAAGAGAAATTTGACAACGTGTGAGTTTTAGGAACATGATTTTGATACATGAGATATTCTTTGCTCGACTTCTCAGGGAGGTAAACCTGTGACCACGACCATGAAGCTAAGTAAGAGCACCATTGAGATGAGACAGGTAGGAACACCATTGAGATGAGACAGGTAGGATCACCATTGAGATAAGACAGGTTGAAGCACCATTGAGATGAGACAGGTAGGAACACCATTGAGATGAGACAGGTAGGAGCACCATTGAGATGAGACACAGGCACAGGATAAGATGTTGCCATTATTTTCATTTACCATATACAGCTCCTCCCCGACTTACGACCATCCGGACAAATTATGTATTTTCGAGTCCCAACGTCAGTGATTGCACTGTGTACTGACAAAATTTTCGTGTGTAATTCACTTTAAAATGGGTGGCAAGCTTAAAAGTGAGAATTTTGTGGTGCTGAGAAGAAAAAGAGACCCATTTTCTATATACAGTAGTATTTAAACATTTTCGACTTATGACCTGGATTTGGGTACCTAACCCCGTCGTAAGTCGGAAACTGTATTTTCTTTCTCTTCCATAATTACTGTACAGAATTTTGGGTAAAAATATTCCATGTTTTTTATAGTAGTACAGTAAATATTTAAATGTGGCTTGAAATTTTTGCTTAGAATAAAAGGAAATCCCACTGGGACTTTATACTGTCCAGTATTTCATTCTGGGATCATGTGATAACCAGTGTGTTAAATGGGGTCTGGAGATGTCTATCTGTTTAAGTCCATTGATTTTTGGAGACATTTAGGGGGATGAGTGTCTTGTAGGCCGGGAAGTACGATAAACTTAGAAGGTTTAAGTGAGTCATCAAATATTATGAGGATTTTTCCTTGCAATATAGATAAAGCATATAGTGTTCCTTTGGCTGTCCAGTTAAATCAAGATAAAAATGCTAAACATTATTTTTTTTTTTTGCAATCTCCTTCATTCAAATTATTAATTATTGCAGCCAGGTACAGGAGAGCTGTAGCAGTCAATGTAAAGTGTTGATGACAGTTCTGACGGAGATTGCCAGAGGCCACTTTTGAAACTTACTAACATTCAGGAAAATATTGAGTCCTAAAATAAATAGGTAAGTAATCTTTTGCACAGCTGTTACAATTACAGTACAGTTTATCCTCTACAATCATGTTTTGTGGAAGAATTTCACTTTTGTAATTGTAAGATAAAGTTTCATATCGAAATTTAATTTTCTCATTGTGAGATGAAAATAAAAACGACGCTTAACAAAAAATATTTATTTCATATTCATTATCTTCATGTTTTGGGAAATATAAACGTTTGATACAATACTTCAAAGTAGTCATAAATTAGAACTATAATTATGCTTCAAACAAAATTACTGATATTGAGGATCCTTCCCGTTAGTTATCTTGTTTTCGAATTTCAGGATGACCATTGTGGGGTATGAGATGTTTGGTTCACACTCAGGATGGGATGGAGAAAGGAAACTCACAATGTGCTCTCTATATACATGTTGTATTGGATGTACAATGCAGCTTGGTGCTGGGAAGGCAGCATGGTTACAAGCGTGATGTAGAGAGAGCTGGTTGGTGAGGACGCTCAGAGAAGGACAGCTTGTGGCTCGCCAGGAGCGAGGACCGCCAGGCAGGCGGAGGAGGAGGGGACGAGGCCGCCAGGCAGCGGCGGAGGAGGAGGTGTTGCTGGCTGCGGCTGTAGGTAGAGACAGATCACCACGAGGTCAGGTCTTAAATAGCGGGGGTAGGCGTGGTTTAGCAGTTGACCCCCGCTCCGTGGTGTATGGCTGCGCTGGTTGACCTAGACCACGAGGCATACACTGGGGAATTGGTGGGGTCGGCTAGGCAGCGACAAACAGCGTTTGTAGGGGAGAATTCCACTACACCATCACGGCTGTTGTCTACAAAGAGGAACAGCTTGTGTTTGTTCCTGTCACAGTGTCAGTGTTTACCCTAACCCGGTGAAGTGTGTTCGTGTCAGTAACCTTTGGCTCCAGTGACTGCACTTAAAGTTTTATCGTAAGTTATGAATTTTTTGTTTGAGTTTAGCTTTGCCTCAGTACTTCATGATATTTTAACGGGAATTAATGGCGCTGTTACATATAATAAGGGCTAGTGGCGTTGCTATTATAATGCTCAGTGCTAATAATTAGTCGTTGCGTGCTCTCATTGTCTTTATCCGCATAATATAAATTTGTTGAGGGATCAGACTAGGATAGTTTTAGTCTGGTCGTACATTTGGTTGGTCTGTTTTGTTTTGTCATAAAGGATTTCAAACTCGCATTTATCTCCTCTTCCTCCCAGTACAGCATGTACCGTCGTGAAAAACAGCCATAAAATAAAAAGTTGTACCGTCTTTATAACTTACTTTCACCCAAAAGGCATCTGTGGGAAAATGAACGAAATCGAACAACTTATGGTGTTAGCTGTCTGCTTCAGTAATACCACACATACATAATATAGACTATGCAAAATTAATTCTTACTTTTACGTTTATCCTAGGTTTATGCTTGTATTTGTATTTTATGTATATAAGTAAAGAGATTGAATATTTTTTTTAAGTATCCAGGGTGGTGACGTTTCATAATGGTTTTGATGTTTGGGATGGGACGCCCATCTGCTTGATTGCTTTGCACTACTGGCCCATTTAGCAGATTGACGGACAGTAACGGCTGATTTGCCGGTTCGCACACCTGCAGATCTGGGAGATGTACTACAGTAAATAATGTATCGTGTATCGTGACGGATTGCGTTCTGTTTCCGCAACATGAAATATAATTTAGGTTACAACAGCTTATATATATATATATATATATATATATATATATATATATATATATATATATATATATATATATATATATATATATATATATATATATATATAAGATAACCACATAGGAAACAGAAGACAAGTTCCCAGCGCTTTGTAATTCACTTCTTCACCACTGAAGATGTGAATTACACGCTTGGAACAATCAGTTTCTTCTTGTTTCCTATGTGGTTATCAGCATTTAAATTCTTAACCTGTTGTATATATTAGATATATGGATTATCAAAGTATAAATTAGGTATTTTCTTGCCAAATTTATGCTTTGATAATCCATATACAGTAAACAATATATACAACATTAAAAATTGATTTGCATTTCGGCAATTTATATAGCATATTAAAGTTATCAAAATGGTTATTGGAATAAAAATACAGTACACTAAAAAAAAAACAAGTTTGCACAAGGGTCAGTAAGGCTGTACTCAATAAAAAGTATCCTAACAGTTTTGTGTGAAAGAATATGACGACAGATTAAGTATTTCGACAACCCTACCGAGACAATAGGATTCGCTGTGTTCATTTTTAAATTCATCGAACTCCACCGTAAAGATACCTTTCGGAGCAAGGGTACAGAAGTCTCAGTCATGAACCTCAGTACGTGAATGTATGTTTAACAATTTTAACAATATTGAATGATCTTGGCAATTAAAATAAATATAAAAGTAGATTGATAAAAGAAAGCCATGAGGACGTGCATATTGACAGTTCAACAGCTACTTGTAATAACGTGCTTCACAGAACACAAGGTCACTTAGCATTACTTAATAATAAACAAAGATTTACTTTCTGTCGCCTACTACCACCTGTAGTGTATAATATGGCAGGCGTCATAAAACACATCCGACCTTTAAATTTGCTAGACTAGAACTAGCCAGCGAAAGCAATGTCCCTTCTAACCTCCCCTCACCTAGGCTGGCTCACTCCCATCTGGCGGCTTTGTTTAGTCACCCAAGGTCTTCATGCAGATTGTCTACTGTATACAATATAAATACCTAGCTATATCTACACACCTGAAAAACTATATACCCCCCAATATATAATCATAATTGACTACATATCTGTTCGTACCATGACAGTATATCAACATACCGGTACCTTGTTGCTAAGTACATGGTCATCTGTACACATCTAACTGGCTACATACCTGAATATCTCTCTGCCTATATACAGTGCCATAATTATTATCTGTTCACACGTCATGATGTGGTAAAATACCCAATTATCGGTAAATGTTACTTTTAGTCCTATTATCTTCTAGCGACTCAAAAATAAATTTTTAATGTATTTTTGCTGTGTTTTGAATGAATTTGACCTTCAAAACTGACGCAAATCACTCGTTTTTGAGTTTCCTCCCACCCAAAACCCCGGTTCCCACGGGTCCCCCATTATTGTGGGGGGATCACAACTAAAAAAATATTTGCGTCAGTTTTGAAGGTCAAATTCATTGAAAATACATATGAAAAATCTATTTTTGAGTCGCTAGAAGATTATAGGACTAAAAGTAACATTTACCCAATTATCTGTTTATATATTTGCCCTACATACCTGTCTGCTCATACATAAGAACATAAGAAAATAAGGAGTCTGCAATAGGCCGGTTGGCCTGTGCATGGCAGCTCCTGTCGAGAGTTACTACCACTCTCCATCATCCATGAATCTATCCAGCCTCCTTTTGAAACTTTCCAGCGTTCCAGCACTTACTACAAAGTTGCTAAGCTTCTTCCACTCGTCCACCACCCTATTTGTGAACCAGTTCCTTCCTATCTCCCTCCTAAACCCTAAACTTATCCAACTTAAATCCGTTGCTCGAGTCCTATCCTGC